TTTTTTTTTTTTTTTTTTTTTTTTTGGATGCTCCAAGTATGAAACGCGAGTGGAGGAAAACAGAGTGAATGTAGAAATACTGAGAATTTCTGTTATTGACCTTGATGAACCTGGTTCACCTGGCTCAGGAGCAGTGTATGAAATTATAAAAGGAAATGATGATCGGTCCTTTGAAATTACAACAGACAAAAACACAAATGAAGGAATACTGTGTGTTGTTAAGGTAAGTAAAAATGGAACTGCTAGAGGAAAATTTTTGTGTCTTCAGGTGTTGCTTTTAAAACCAATAATCTAGAACTCATTTTTATTCAAAGAATATCTGTAACTATCAGGCAAATCATGTTTTCTTTCCGATCTGAACTCTCTTCTAGAGCAGATTGCATAATGCACTGCAAATGAGGCTCATGTGTGGTACCTAACCTACAAAACTCATCTTTCAGACTACTCCTCCATTTTGTGCGCACAGAATTCAAGGAATTCCCTTTGGTTTGTCATTCCAGAAGAGCTTGGTGCTTTTGCCTGGTTCCACAGTTGGAGTTGTTTAGATGTAACTGAGGAATGCTTCATGGCTAGGTTTTTAACAGAAATGGGAGTGTGGCAAAGGAGGGGAGGGATGAGCACCTCCTCCAATTTTGTTCTCTCTGGGTGTTGATTAAACTTCCTAACTCAGCATAAAACTCCCCAGGTTTTATTTTGCAGGATAGTGACTTCAGGTTTGCTTTTCTGGGGTGCGAGGGAGTCCATATACACATAAGACTATGTGTTAGTTTTGTTACTTGTTATACCCAGTACTTTACAGATGTGAGGTAGAAGGACCATTGTACCTGTACTCCAGCATGTCCCTTTGCCTCTTAATGCCTCTTTTTCATTATCTGTTAAAACTGCAATAACAGGTAACTTCTAAGGAGCAGAGAAGATTAATATTAAAATTTGAAGACGTAAATCGTATGCGTAGAGATGCCAGTTAAATTTGGTTTTTTATTTATTATGTTTTTTTTGTTGCTGGTAATCATTAGAGCCGTTTCTAAAGCTATGTCCCTGGTATACTAACCCAGTTGAAAATTCTTATGTTTAGGGTAATGCTGTAGTAGACTAGAGAGTATTATGATTTCAGGATATAAGTAGCTCTATTAAAGGCGTATGATGACCTTGGAGAAGGCGTCTGAAGAATAAATGGTAGATACTTACTGATCAGCCCCACAAATTCAGGTGTATTTGCAATGGGTGAAGTCTTACTAGGAAGTAAATGTAGGTGCTAGCGAGAAGCGTGATTGATTTGTCCTGGAAAGGAGATATACATAACCTAAAAAAATGGCCAACTAGATATGGGAGGAGAAATTCCACCACCACATTTAATTCTTATCTCAGTTCTACTAGTAATTGACTATCAGAGTATTAATGTAAAATTTTACAGTGGTGCTGCTTTCCTTATTGGGGGTAATTCCTCAGGTTCTTTTCTTTGACTAACTTAGAACTTAACTTTGTTTTTTTTTTTTTTTTTTTTTAAATCGTGTCCCTTTACTGTGTCTCCAGCTGGATGTTCCACAAGGATAGCTGACTTCTTTTGTAAATAAATGTGGTACAGTTTTATCTATTTAATAATTGGGCAGTGAAAGCAATAATAAGTTTTGTATTGGTTCGAAGGAAAAAAAAAAAAACAACCACCCCACCTTTGTTACAGGGACTGGACTATGAAAGCGCCAAGCAAAGGATCCTTGTGATTGCAGTCAACAACGAGGCACCCTACATGCTAGCACCACATTCACAACAACTTTCCCAGAGCACCAGCTCTGTTACAGTGCATATCCTGGATGTGGATGAGGGGCCAGTGTTTAAACCATGTCACTTACGCATAGATGTTAAAGAATGCGAGGACATTGGGACGATTATTGGGAGATACCTAGCAGAAGATCCAGAAACTGGAAATAGTGAAGGCATATGGTATGAAACAATGATATCTAGTAGTTTATTTGGAGTGCAGCATGGGTGGGATACGGGAAGGGGGAAATAGTTGTTGACGCTGTATATATGTGTGTGTGTGTGCGCACACACATGAATGTATATGAATACATGTATCTATATATGTATGTGTATGTACGTACATATACATGTGTATGTATATTTGAGATCTTTAACTAAACAGACAAATGATTCTTGACAGCTACCGGATACCACCTGGCCAGTGTAATTGGATCAACATAGATGAAAAATCAGGTGAAGTCAGAACCATTAAAGTTTTGGACCGAGATGTAGGAGAAATGAGACGAGGTCAATGCAATATCACAGTCCTCGCAATAGACAGAAGTGAGTCCTAAATATTGTCAGTATTCTTTGTGGTCTATAACAGATGTTTGTGTGCAAATTTAGTGTGGGGACAGCTATACTGGTTCAGACCAGAGGCCCACCTAGTCCATTGTCTTGTCTGTGGGATAGCGCTATCAAATGCTTTGGGAATATTATACATCATTTAAGAAATTGGGGCAAATTCTCAATGTTTTCAGAAGTTATCTTCTCCCATTTAAAATCCTTTGTTAAGTTTAGCTTGAGAGATTTTCCTGTGGATTGTATTCCTTTTGTTTCCTGACTGTTTTTTTAAATGATAGCACCTGGCAGCCATGAAGTCGACCACAGAGAATGTAGAGAGAGAGAGAACTTTTTGGAAAAAAAAAGTTGTTGACCTTGCAACTCCTACTATTTCCTCCTCTGTGTGACTTCTTGGTGTCTTGCTTTTGGAAACCCTTAATTTAAAAAGACCTCTAAGAATAACCGTATTCATTGCTGTATGTTACTGTGCTCTTACTCTTATTCTCAGTCATCTAGGTTCTGTAACAGTGTTCATACTGTGTTGCTCAGGTGATGAGCTCTTACAAATTACTCTGATTGTAAAGCAAGGGTTGTACACTCATATTCTCACTCTAAAACAGGTTTTGGTTCTGATTTAATGTGAGTGATCATCTATTCTTTCTGATTTATTTGGGTATATGCATTTATTGTAGTAAAAGACATAGTTTTGCCTCAACACCATCTAGCCAAGAAGATTAAATACACCTTTTGCTTCCCAAATGCTAAAAGTAGCAAATGGATTATCAAAGAGAAATGTTAGGCTTATACGTCACGCTTTTAATTCTAAAATATGTATCTTACATTAAAAAGGAAAAATGGACTGCGTTTCTAAATCCAGTGGCAGGATTTAGTTTGAGCCCTTATGTGCTTGAACGTCAGTGGGAGTAAAGAGCAGACCTTTGAAAGCTGCTTTACAGCTAAAAATTCTAACTCTGTCCAAAGCTTGCATATTAAAATTAAATGTAAATAATATGAATTTAGATTGTTTAGAACTTCTGTTGCATATAAAGTAAGCATGATATATGCATCTGCAATCAGGTATTTCTAGAGAAAGTTTTAAAAAGTAGACTTGATGTAATTTCACTGGAATGCATATACAAGCATTGACCATTCCTGTATTGGAAAAAATGTAATTAGAAGGGAGAGCTCATTCACTTCTTGCATGTAGACTTCGGTGACATAGTGTGTGTCACTGCCGAATCCTGCTACCGCACGGTGACTTAAAACGAAGAAGACAGAAGTCTGCTGTTTCTGAAAGTGTTCATGTTCCCAGGGCAAGTGAGAGTAAGGAAGGTGTAATTTATTTTCTCCTTCCAGAAGTAAAAAAGCTGGAGAGTTTCACTTTCTGCTTTAGGCTCTCAGTTTGGCTTTGCATCCTTTACGCCTGATTTATGGGTTCTTTCTCCTCTCATCCTTCTGTTAGAACAGTATCTGCCCCCACACGACACACACGCTCAACAAAATATATTGCACGTGCAGAATATGGAGCTTTGGGAGCTGTTGATCCATTCTACATCTAGCCAAGCAAAGACAAGCAGCCAAGAGAGCTGTGAGAAGTCCCTCTCTCTTTTTGGCTAAATCAGCAGCTGCTTTCCACCTTACTTCTAAACTTGGATGTTACAGTTGATGATATTTTATTGTGAAAGTTTGGACTAGAAATAAATATGTAAATGTTAGAAGTAAGTTCTAAAAGTAGTTATTTTTATCTCGTAGATGGCAAAACAGGCACTGGAACAATTCAGGTTGTCATCCAGCCTGGGAACAAGAATTACCCACGAATCACTAAAACTGACTATATAATGTGCAGAGACAGAAAACCGATCTGCCTTACTGCAGAGGATGGTGATGAGTCTCCTTACAGCTCACCCTTCGTATATCGCATAACTGACCGTAGCTTGGCTTCCTTGTGGAAGATAACTCAACACAACGGTATGTTAAGACTTCCTCCTCCTCACTTAGCTGCAGGTTGCCAGAGGAGGCTTTGCTACCTCTCCCTTGAGTGGACTGTAAGAATAGATTGGATGAATGTATGTTTGGAATTGGTGTAGTCAGTGGGGCTAACAAGATAGCCCTGATGATCTCTAGCGGTTCCTCAGTTTTGTTTGCTGTACAGGAGAACAAGAGTATGATGGCAACAAGAGCAGCACATAGGTTTGCTACTATGTTGTCATGAATTAGCCTGAAACGGGTCTGATTCTGAAGTGTTTGGGCAAATATTCACTAATGAAAGGCAAAAGACCGCAAAGTCTGAGAGCAAAGGCATGTAAAAGTTTAAAGGTTTATATTAGGCAAATTGAAAAAAACCACTTTAGATGCTACATGTAGTTTCATATACCTCATCAAGCAACCATTATGTACATCAGTGTCTACTTGTACATATTTTTTACAAATGATTTCTTTTGCCCTTTAAAACCCATGGTCACTAATCATTGCCACTAATCAGGGCAGCAGACTAAATGAGTTTTCCCTCCCACTGGATATAGCTGTTCCCGCTGAATATAGCAATAAAGCTAAAGAGTAGAAAAGGTGTAAATTAAGTTTACGATTAATTATTCCAATCACACTACCAGAAGTCCTTTTAATAAATGTCAGTTCAGTTGACGGTTTTTACTAGTAAGCCCAAATAGCGTCATTTACTATAATGAACTGAATCAGCTTCAGAGTTTCAAATCATATGTTGTCAGAAGGCTGTATAAGGTTTGCTTTTTCAGTTCTAACATTTAAAAGGTACTGAAAGTATAAATCCTTCCAAGATGTAGTTTTGTATCAGCACATTTAAGCTAGCTTTAAGCTAGCTTTAAACTAGCTAATGTGGATCTAGTAGCAGTATAGCTGTAACAGAAGGGAAGATTGTGATTACGGTCACATATGTGACAACAGAGTTTCAGGTATTGTTAACACTAGATCTGGTTTTGTCTTTTTTTACAGATAATTCTGTGTACCTTTCACCGAAGGGTGATATTCCATTTGGAATATACAATATTCCTGTAAGTGTGATTGATAACGGAGGAAAGGCAGGAGAGAACCACATAACAGTTAACTTCTGTGACTGTGTTACTCCAACCGAATGTGGTAGCTCGGCCCGTGTTGGTCCTGCTGGAAATGTTACTCTTGGTGTATGGGCCATCCTTGCAATGATCTTAGGATCACTATTATTGCTGTGTAAGTACACTTGTTTTTTTAACCTGAAGTGCAAAATACTTAATTTGAAAATTAGCTGAGAGAACCTGATTCAAACTTGATTAAAACATTTCTTTTTTTATTTAGGCAGTTGTATAGCCCTCATCACTGACTTAATGTACTTGCTCTATTTGTATCGGTATCACAGGCTTCTTGTTCTCATCTTGTCCTGTAGTTACTGTGTGTGGATTTCTGTTCATTCTTTTAAGTACATTTTATGTAAGATGTTCTCTGTGTTCATGTTAGCAAGGCCAAAAAAACTGCATTCAGCACTTGAACCGAAAGAAGGTAGGATTTATAGTGCTTATCGGATCTTGTCTTGAGGTGAGTATAGCGTAGTTTGTTTGTGAGTTTAGTGCTGGTCTTGGGATGCACATTCCTGTTGGTAGAAATGCTGAAATCAATTTCCTAGAACTTTTCATGACGTTTCTTGTGTCATGGATTAATACATGGAGTATCTGAGACATTGGATTTCACAAAGAATTTTACAAGAGCCAGCGTAGTGTTGAAGGACAGGTTGGATACTTCTACAACAGACCAAACTGTTGAATACATGTTGTGTTACTGGAGTTGCCCAAAGACTAACAAACAGATTGATATTGCTGTTAACCAGCGAGGTGGTGACAGTGACACGTAATAGCAAAGCCAGGTAACTTTTTTTACCAGAATCAGACATAGTCTGACTAATAACATCTTTAAAAATAACCAGAGGACATGCTACAGTAACAAACACTTCAGAGTTTGGGCTTTTTTTCTTTCTTTTCCATTTTTTCTGGTAATGATCAATCTGTCTTGCCCCTGTTCAGTCTCAGCTAGCTGTTCTTACTCAGGTAGATAGAACACTGGGACCTGCACATGTTTTGAAGATTAGATAAAGCCATGTTTTATCTAAACAGGGCAGGTACCCAAATTCATGATATAGCCTAGAGGTGGAGCTTTCAGATGTGGGGATGCTCAGTAGGGGGACTGTGTGAAACATCAGCTAGCTTTTTGTCACTACCCCTTGACTGCATTCCTCCCAGATAGACCTATTATTTTATGGTGGCTAGGTTTTACCCTGTGTATCCTCTACTCAGTGCTGTCATGGATGTCTTCTTCCCATCTGTCAGCGTCAGGAGGCGACTCGCTGGAACCACTGACGCAGATCTTGCTGACAGCTGATAGCTGCAGAAGCTAAATGAACTTGAAAGTGGCTCTTGGCCAATTTCCACAGAAGTTTATATGTTCAGAGATCAGATTGCTCATGGGCAGTTAGGCAGAACTGCTCTATTTCTCATGGGCTTCTTGATTTTTAAGCTATCAACTTGAGAAGGAAAGGGTGGTTCTCAAATGAAATATTTAATCCTTTGTTTAGGAGAGGTATTAGTTGCTCATGATGCTTTTATACAAAGTAATTTCTGGCTGGGTCTCCATGACAACACTTATTATTATTATTATTATTATTATTATTATTATTATTATTATTATTAATTATAGGAGGAATAAGCCAAATACAAGGAATTAAATAAGATTGTTCTGTAACATAATGCTTGAAGCCCTCCAGGGTTTTGGTGACCTTTTCTGTGAAGCAGAATTTTCTGGTATTGGGACCTTTAGCTTGCATATTAGTTCCTTATGACATAATTTGACATCTGCATATTCATACATGAAAAATGTCTTATCTACAACTTGTTGTAGGCATAAGACATGGTTTTTCACCTGGATTTGGTCTTAATTTTTTATTACTGTGAAATTTTGCAGTCACAGTGTTTTCATAAGGGATGCTTGCATTTCTTTCTGGGAAACCAAGGTGCATTTTAGAAGAATGAAATAGTTCAACAGTGTAGTGAAAACTCCATGTACTGTTGGAAAAAATGTATATGTGTACAGTTTTGAGTATGGGCATTTTTAGAAAGAAATAATTTTTTTAAACCATAATTGATGTTTAGGTATTTAAAAAGACTAATACGACAAAATTCATTATCAAACAGAAGTAGATACCATTATGAGGTAAAGTTCATAGTATCTTCCTCACTTATTTTCTTTCAATAGTAATCCTGATCACAATTTGTGGCTGCTGTGGCTCTGGGGTAATGCACAGGCATGTGACTGATGATTGTGCCAATCACAACTTAATCATTTCAAATACAGAAGCTCCAGGAGAAGAAGTGATGGTAAGTTGTCTATTTACTTCAATGTAGAAACACGTAATTAATATATCCATAGCATTTCAGTTTGAGAACAGGATCACCTGCAGGTAAGTGATTTATTAAAGGAAATAAGCAATAAACGCAGGGATCATTAGATGTGCTTTGATATTTAACAAGAATTTGAAAATTCTTACTTTAGACAGAGTTGGTAGTACCATACATATTTAAACATATCCTGTGGTTGTTAGCCCAGCTGCTTATAATTCTTCCAGACTTTAACTGTTTGGTTGGGACTTACAGACGAACATTTTAATCACTTCATTCATTTTCAACAATGAGATTAGATGGAAATTTACTATTTTGCCTGTGTTCAATGTGTGTTTATGGCAAAACATTATTGCTTTTCCTTGGAGAAGGATTTTTAAATTTAATGGATAGTCATTGTAGATCGCAGGTGCAATTTCTTCCCCTCCACTGAAAAATGACCCGAAATATAGTTGATTTTTGAGCCAGTGGAAAAAATATAATTGAACAGTCCATGCTCATGAAATATGTTCTTGCTTTTGGCATCTAAACTTTTAAAAGATTCAGTCTACCATGAACTTAGTCCAGCCCAGGACTGTGTTCATACACAAGGACTTAGCTCTTCAGACTCTTCCCCTTCTCCTCTGTCCCTCACCCCCTTTCTTTGCCCTCCTCAAGAAAAGGAGATTACTTTAAAAACCATTGAGTTTACTTCACCTTAAAAACCAAGAAATCCTAATGTGACAAGTGTCAAATTTCTCGTTGCCTGTAAAGCATAATGTAGTGCTGTTATAAACTGATAATGTAGTTTTTAATTTGTGATCCTATACTATTTTTTCGATATTTCACTCAGTATACAGATTTAACGTGTGAAGAAACGGAATGAAACTTATGCATATGACTGTATATCTGGCTTAATGGATTACAGGTTGTTGACTTTGCAAACCAAATGTTTACATGATCATTTCAGAAACTAGCATATGGATTATAGTACAGCTTTCATTGGGATAAAGATTCAGTTTTTGGATCTCATATCATATTTAAATGCAGATTCCCGCCCCCGCCTTGTTGTAGTATCCTTTCCAAAAAACACTTATTGATCCTTATACCCTAAGTGCCAAGGGCAGCTTTTTGTTCAAAATGTCACAGTGTAAAGTTGGACACTTTTCAGTTTTCAGTATTGATACTTGCTGATTGCTGTTTCATCTTTTGAATTAAAAAAAAAAAAAAAAAGTAAGTAAGGGTATCCCCACTCCTGCGTCTCTTTTAGGATCACAATATAATTCCTCTACAAAATACAAGTGATCAAGGAGGATATGGAATAAAAACAGGAGATCAACAAACATTTGAAATGGTAAAAGGAAGAGGGCAGACCTTGGAATCAGTCAAGGGAGGCGGACATCAGACTCTGGGATCTGTCAAAGAAGGAGGAGGACAGGCCATGATGGATACATGTAGATACTCCTACTCAGAATGGCATAATTTCACACATCCTCGTTTAGGTGAAGTAAGTATTCTGAAACTGGTTTGTTTTTTTTTTGAGTGTAAGTTATGATCAATATATGCATACTTTCCAAGGAAGGCATGTATTTGTGCTAGAAAGGTGGCTTTCTGTTTTTGATTTTGTTTCGTTTGTCCTCTCCTTTGCTTCCCTGCCTCCCCTTTGGAATATTGCCTTTTCAAAAACTCATCCTTTACATATTTTAGACATAAGTGTAAATGGCTTTCTTTTCTTGGCTTAAACTACAGGCACTGTATGCTATTTTTCATTTAGAATATTTACTCATTTAGCATAATTACTTTACTCAAGCTTTTGTGAGTTTTTCTGACAATGTCTGTTTGCTTTAATTCTAACTGCTTGCTTTGTACTAATGTAAAACTGATACTTACCTTAGCAATGGTGCAGGAATGAATGTGCAGCAGTAGAAATGTAGTTACTCCATGCTTTGGAGATCAAAAACTCTCACTACTTGCCTAACTAGTTATGTGTAAATCAGTCTTTTAATTTTGAGTGGATTTTAGTTGTTTGACAGGTTATTTAAACAGGTTCTTCTTCTTTTATTGTTACATACATGATTAGTAGAAATGATTTCTTTATTAAATACTTATTTTTTGTAGTCTTAATGATATAGACCAATCATGTGCATTTTTTGTATGTAGGAATCCATTAGAGGACACACTCTGATTAAAAATTAATCAATGAAAGGTAAATCAAAAGAAATTATTTTTATGCAATATGTTTAGGATAACAATTTAAGAAAATAATAAGGTGTGTTCTCTTCCTATGCAGAAGGTGCACCTATGCAGACAGGATGAAGAACAGAAGCATTCTGAAGATTATCTCCTTTCATATAACTATGAAGGAAAAGGATCCTTGGCTGGCTCTGTAGGCTGCTGCAGTGATCAGCATGAAGAAGAGGCACTTGACTTCTTAGATCAGCTGGAACCCAAGTTTAGGACATTAGCAGAAACATGTGTAAAAAGATAAATGTGCCTTTCACTGTGCTGAAAAAAACTGTAAATAAGTGGCTGTCGTACTTTTGTGATATTAGGTATTTTGGAATTGAGGGGGGGAGAGGTTTATCAAAATTAATGTAGACTGGTAAGAGTGTAAGTAACTCTTACTTCAAATATGCAACAATTTTTTTTTATCTCTGCTAGACACATTCCATCAAAAATAAGGGATTAAAATACTTTTTCTTTAGATTATGTTAATATAGTAATGCTAGTTTCTACTTAGATTACATTTCCTATTCTTTGTGGTTACTTCAAATGCAAAGCTTGGTGTTGTCCTTTTAATTAATTATTCAGCTTCAAAATTTTATTGTATTTGGCTTTGGAGACGGAAAGCTTTTTAACTCACTGTTTCTTTGTTTTCTTTTAATTCTGTAGAAATAAAAAAACATTACTGGTGGATATCGAATACCTTGTTAATTTTTAACTTATACAAACTGAGATACAAAACACTTTTTCATTTTTCACATAAAAAATACTGATGAATACATTAGAATACTTTATATTTTTGATTGAAAATTAAATATATATATATATATTGTATATATGTAAAATAATATTCAAAAATATATTTTTCTCCTAATGGGTTACCACCCATCAAACTTGCTATCCTAAGGGATTTATGGCATCACCACATAGGGTATCAGCATTGTATGCGAGTATATATTTTTCTTTTAAGGAAATAAAAGATTAAAAAAAAAATCAGGAAATAGGGTTAACTATCATACTTCAAAGGAATGCAAGACAAATCTCATGACATAAGTTTGTACCTCAGTTTCTTGTGAGTTTTAACATAGTATCATTGCAGAAATGATAAACATTGCCAAGAGTTTTTGTCCAGCGTAGCTACCACTACCTTTTTTATTTGCCTTGTTATGGACTTCATTAAACTGTTTCTTTCTGTAAGTAGAACTTGACAGAAGATACAGATCAAATGGATTGAGCATACACTGCATTAATAATGTGTTTTAAAAATGGCTTTATTTGAGATGCAAAATTACACTGGGATAAACTGTCTGTTTTGAGTGTTATTACGTGGTGGTTGTAGAGGTAAGCATTTACACAGATCTCTGGCAGAAATCATCTGAATCCCATTTGTTATTTTACTGGATTAAGCATACATATACACTTTATACAGTGTATATATACACTGTATGTGTGTGTGTATGTGTGTATATATATATATATATATATATATACATACACAACAGTCTGAAATACCTTTGGCAGGTGACAGTAGTGAGACCTGAATGCTGCCATAAGCTATTTCTGCAATTCAGCCTCTGCTTCCCAGGTTTTATATGCTTTTAATATTTGCACTCCTGGTTAAGTAACGTCCTCTGCACTCTGGGAATTCTCTTGTGTCTTAAAAGAATGTCTTCCTGCCTATGAGAAAAAGAAACTTGTGCAATTACTTATTTCTGTTGCTATAATTCTGCTTTTAGGACTTGCTCTGTAAACATATGCCTTAGGGGAGATATTTTTAAAAATTTACCGTAGCTAATGATCTGTAAAAGGAATTATTAGTAACAAGAGAGTCATGCTGCTCTAAATTTCAGTGCACAACTGCTGCTGACTTCCAGTGGTTGCAGTTCATTCCACACAGATTATGGTCAGTGAAAACCCATAACAGTATAAAAACGTACTGAAGTTATAAAATAGTACTTTTAAAACCTTCTGTTTTACACTGTAAATGGGCTTCAGAATATTTCTGATAAAAACTAGCTCTGGTTAATAACTTCATAGACCAGTGTTAAATGTATTTTAGTCTGTCATTTGAAAGTGGTGATGAATTCATCCTGAACTAGATACACTGCCAGTGCTAAGAGCAACAGTCACCAGCAGCAAAATACTAGATGAGAACCAAGGTGTTAGGAACTTACTTTATTTAAAAAATGCATGCTAACACTAATCTTCTGAACACTGCTCTTCTTTGTCACTAACATAAATGAGTTCTGGTGTACCTGGATAGGCAGATCTGTGGCTGATGTAAGGCAGGATAGCTCTGCTGATGCCAGTGGAGCTATGCCAACTTTATGCCAGGTGAAGATCTGTCCCACAGTGATTTCCTTGCTTCTTTGTGTCTTCCATCTTTATCTTTAGTTATTGGATATACACTTTTTAAGACTGTTAATGTCTTCTCCCTCCACCCCCTTTTAATGCTTGTTTGGGGTTGTTTGTTTTTTTTTTTTTAAATTATATAAAAATTCTATAGTTCAGAAGGACCTAGGATAAATAACAGAATGCACTCTTTTGAAAATTACTTGGGGGGTGGCATAGAGAAACCTCTGGAAATATGGTTGCTTTCCTCATGAAATATAACAGTAGTACTGCTCTCAAAGAATAGACCAAATTTGGATGAGCTTTAATTGAATTAGCGTTCGCTATTTTAAGTAGATGGTTGCCAACTTTCCACTCTGGAGCTAAAATAATAACTTATTGAAATCAAAATAATGTTTTCTAGTCTAATTTACCTTAAAAATGTTTTAATTTTTTTCTTTTACATTTCAACAAACATAGATAATTAGTTACTTGCATTTTTTGTCCGTTTTTAAACAAAGCACAGACTTGGAATCACTACTTGTTTGTCTCTTTTAAAAATTAAAGTTCTGAACTGAACCAGCTATTTCTGTAAAACCAAGAGTAAAAAGGTAATTGAGATGCTTTAAAAAATGAACTGTAAAACATTATTTTCATTGTATCTTCTAATCATGTAGATGAAAACGTTATACAAAGCATTAAGGTTTACAGATACTAAGTACCAAATAACATTTGTGTAAAGCTTACAAATGAAATATTTCAAAATGTATAATTCACTCATTGTTACTGTCTTGAATCACCTTAAAAATTGTGAAATTTGCTCTCTTCAACTAGGTAATTTGCAAACTATCTAGTTGTGTCAACATTATCTTAACATCATGCTTTAGGTATATTTTGTACAACAGTGAGTAATAAATTTTTTGAAAAATAAAAGGAACTACAAAAACTTTATTTCTTGTACATGAAGTAGTTTATGAAGATAAGCATGCCTATTTCTGAAGGGGATTGGGTTTTTAAATTTTAATTGAAGTGTTTTTGTGATGTTATACTGCTGTAACGCTAGTAGTACTTGTCCTTGCAGCATGAACAGTGGTGAGTTCTAGCTGAAGTTTTACAGCACAAGCTGGCCAGTTGTCTGTGGGGCTTCCTTAGTGCTTCTAAAACGATCACAGAACACTTGATGAATTCAAGAGCTTAAAAGTACAAAGCATTACTCTGTCATCTCCCTGATAAATTGTAAAAAAACCACAGCGCCTATTTTCAAAACCTCTTAAGGAAAACCAATGACAGCAAGTAACACAAACTTTGACACATTTGACAGTTATAAAGCTGCAGGATATTAGTATTGTATGAATTGTATTATCCCTGCGATACTATGATTGGGGGACCAGTGGAATATCAGTTTCGGTTATCTGGCTTCAAGGGAAGAGGTAAAATCGCGGAATGGCTGAGGTTGGAAGGGACCTCTGGAGGTCATCTAGTCCAACCTCTCGGCTCAAGCAGGACCATCTACAGCTGGTTGTCCAGGACCAGATGGCTTTTGAGTATCTCCAAGGATGGAGACTCTACAATCTCTCTGAGAAGCCTATTCCACTGCTCAGTCACCTTCACAGTAAAAATGTGTTTCTTGGTCTTCAGATGGTGCCTCCTGTGTTTCAGTTTGTGCCTATTGGCTTTTGTCCTGTCACTGGGCACCACTGAAAAGAGGTTGGCTCTGTCCTCTATACCCTTTAGGTATTTATATATATTATTAAGATCCCCCTTGAGCCTTCTCCAGGCTAAACAGTCCCACGTGCCTCAGCCTTTCCTCACAGGATGGATGCTCCAGTCCTTTCATCATTTTCATGGCCCTTCATTGATGTCTCTCCAGTATGTCCGTGTCTGTCTTGTACTGAGGAGCCCAGAACTGGACACAGTACTCCAGGTGTGGCCTCACCAGTGCTGAGTAGAAGGGAAGGATGACCTCCCTCGACTTGGTGACAACACTCCTCCTAATGCAGCCTAGGATGCCATTAGCCTCCTTTGAGGCAAAGGCACATTGCTGGTTCATGTTCAACCTGGTGTCCACCAGGACCCCCAGGTCCTTTTCTGCCAAGCTGCTTTCCAGCTGGGTGGCTCTCAGCATATACTGGTGCATGGGGTTGTTCTTCCCCAGGTGCAGGACTTTGGACTTCCCCTTGTTGAACTTCATGAGGTTCCTGTTGGCCCAGCCTGTTTCTCCTTCCTGTTTCTCCAGCCTGTTGAGGTCCCTCTGGAGGGCAGCACAACCCTCTGGCATATCAGCTACTTATTCTGGTTTTGTGTCATCAGCAGACTTGCTGAGGGTACACTGTACCCCATCATCCAGATCATTAATGAAGATGTTAAACAGGACTGGACCCAATATGGACCCCTGAGGTATACCACTACTTACTGTCCTCCAACTAGACTTTGTGCTGCTGGTCACCACCCTCTTGGCCTGGCCTTTCAGCCAGTTTTCAATCCACCTCACTGTTTGCTCATCCAGCCTGTACATCAACCGCTTGTCTCTGAGGATCTTATGGGAGACAGCGTCAAAGGCCTTACTGAATTCCAGCTATAATATATCCATTGCTCTCTCCTCACCCACCAGGCCAGTTATTTCATTGTAGATGTTTATCAAGTTTGTCAAGCATGACTTCCCCTTGGTGAAGCCATGCTTGACTACTCCCAATGATTTTCTTGTTGTTCATGTATCTGAAAAATGGTTTCCAGGATTAGCTGATCCATCGCTTTCCCAGGGATTGAGGCGAGGCTGACAGGCCTGTAGTTCTCTGGGTCCTCCTTCTTGCCCTTCTTGAAGACAGGAGTGACATTTGCTTTCCTCCAGTCCTTGGGCACTTCTCCCAGTTGCCACGATCGATTAAAGATTGTTGAGAGTGGCCTTGCAATGACATCTGCCAGCTCCCTCAGCAC